TCCTCCTCCTCCTCCTCCTCCTCCTCCTCCTCCTCCTCCTCCTCCTCCTCCTCCTCTCCTCCTCCTCCTCCTCCTCCTCCTCCTCCTCCTCCTCCTCCTCCTCCTCCTCCTCCTCCTCATCCTTCCTCCTCCTCCCCCCTCCTCCTCCCCCTCCTCCTCCCCTCCTCCTCCCTCCTCCTCCCCCTCCTCCTCCTGCTCCTCCTCCTCCTCCTCCTCCTCCTCCTCCCTCCTCCCTCCTCCTCCTCCTCCTCCCCCCTCCTCCTCCTTCCCTCCTCTTCCTCCTCCTCCTCCTCCTCCTCCTCCTCATCCTCCTCCACAATTACTCAATATGAATACCACTCTCCCTCTTCCCCTGATGACGGTTTGAAAGTGCTCTGAAAATATTCGACCCCCCGCGTATTGTTTTTTACAGAGGTTTCCCCGGAGATGGGTTTTCGCATGCATTTTTTTCCAAAGTGCTGCTCTCGCTGAGGCGCCGGCCTCATTTTCGGGCCCCGCTCGTTCCGAATCGTGCTCCCGCAGCGCTGGCGCCCGGGCCGGCGCTCCGGCCGGGTCCGGAGCCGGTTCTGGCCGCCGCTGGAAAATCGAGTTCCGAGGCGGCGCCGAAAAAATGCTATTCTAATACGCATTTTTCTTTTGAAAATGCAGAATTTCTGCTTCCGGCGCCCGGGAGGCCTCCCGGGCCGATTCCGACGCCCGGGCCGGCGCCCGAGCCGGCGCCTGGGCCGGACGCCCGAGCCGGCGCCCGGGCCGGCGCCTGGGCCGGGTCTGGAGCCGGTTCCGGCCGGCGCAGGAAAATCGAGTTACGAGACCCTCCCGTCTCAAAGAAGGGCCTCCGCGCACACCATAACCCAGACGGCCCCCCCAACAATAAGTCAACGACAGTAGGCTAACGATGCTCTTGGCTTTTCCTGCGAGGCCATGGCATCACACGCTCCGCCCGTAATTATGGGGACTTGGCGAATTTCCGCATGAGCGTGCCATTCCGTCCCTTCTCTCTCTCTCTCTCTCTCGTCGTCGTCGCCGCCGCCGCCGCCGCCGCCGCCCCCGTCTTCATCTTCGTCATCGTCGTCGTCGTCGTCGGAAGAGGAGGAGGAGCAGGATAATGCCTCTTGGGGCCCTCGTGGGACTTCTGGGGGCTTCCTGGGAGCCTCTTGGGTGCCTCTGAGGGTCCTCTTGGGGGCCTTCTGGGGTCCTGGAGCCTCTTGGAGCCTCTTGGGCCTCTTGTGGGGCTTCTGCCTCTTGAGGGCCTCTCAGGGCCTCTTAACTTTCGCAGGCCGTCTTGGGGCCCTCTCTCGGCAGTCGTGGGTGTCTCGGGGGATGCTGTTTCGAGCTTCGAGGTGTGAGGTCTCTTCGAGGACTCCGAAGTTTCGCGTTTTGGTTGGATCGGCGGCGACCACCCCTGGCGGCGCCTCCAGCGACGCCCCTGGCGCGCTCCGAACGCCGGGGAGGGGCCTCGCGCCGACCCAAGAACTCCGCGCGGAGCTCGGGCAGTTTTTTTTTTTGCTTTGGGTTCCATGCTGCATCCGTTGTAAGACTCGGGCCGGGCGAAAGGGGGGGATTGGGAAAGGGGGGGTTACGAAATTTGCTGCATGCAGCTGATTTCGGCCTCACCGAGGGGCCCATTCCTCGATACATGGGCGCCTCCCGGCGCCGGGAGGCGCCGGGAAAATCAGCTACGTGAGCTGATTCTCAAACCCCCCCTTTGCTATCCCCCCCTTTCGCCCGACCCGAAAGACGTTTCCCTCGATCTGCCGGCGAGCTTCTGGCCTCGAGGTGCTCTCCAGTGGCCGCGCCTCGCCGAGGGTGCTCCACGGGGGTCCCGAGGCGTCCCGAGCGGCCGCCGGAGGCCCGAGATGCGACCCGGAGGCCACCGGGCTGCATTGGTGCTGCCATCGGCTGTGCCAGCACTGCAGGGAGAGGAGGAGGAGGAGGAGCAGGGGGAGGAGGGGGAGACAAAGAAGAGGAAGGGGGCAAAGGGGCAAGGAGAAGGAGGAGGGCGAGGAGGAGGAGGAGGAGGAGGAGGAGGAGCACGCAGACGAGGACCCGGAGGACGACGACGACGACGCCTTCGACGGCGACGACGGCGATGATGATGATGATGATGATGATGATGATGATGATGATGATGATGATGATGATGATGATGATGATGATGATGATGATGATGATGATGAGGAGGAGGAGGAGGAGGAGGAGGAGGAGGAGGAGGAGAGGAGGAGGAGGAGGAGGAGGAGGAGGATGGAGGAGGATGTGAATAGGATGATGAGGATGATGATGATGATGAGGATGATGCTGCTGATGACGATGATGATGCTGCTGCTGCTGATGATCATGATGATGATGATGATGCTGATAATGATGCTGCTGATGATTATGATGATGCTGCTGATGATGGTGGTGGTGGTGATGATGATGCTGCTGTTGCTGGTGATGATGACGGTGATGATGCTGATGCTGATGCTGCTTATGACGATGATGATGCTGCTGCTGATGATGATGATGCTGATAATGATGCTGCTGATGATTATGATGATGCTGCTGATGATGGTGGTGGTGGTGATGATGATGCTGCTGTTGCTGGTGATGATGACGGTGATGATGCTGATGCTGATGCTGCTGGTGATGATGATGATGTTGATGATGGTGATGATGATGCTGATGATGGTGGTGGTGATTTTGATGATGGTGGTGGTGGATAATGATGATGATGATGGTGGTGGCGGTGGAGAAGGAGGAGGATGCGGAGGTGGGGGATGTGATCAAGGAGTAGGAACAACAATGTTAAGAGAGGCGTGCGGGTGCTGGTGCCTTCTTTCTTTCCTGTGATGCTCCGTGGGCCTCCTCATCCCCTCTCTCTCTGCCTTCCTCTCTCTCTCTCTCTTTTTTTTTCTCTCTCTCTCTCTCTCTTGCTCTGTCTCTCTCTCTCCCTCTCCCTCTCCCCCTCCCCCACTCCTCCTCTCAGTCTGCGCCTCAACGGCGGCGTCAATCGGGCAGCACGAAGCAGCAGAGCTGCGCCGGTGATGGCCGTGACGGGGGCGCAGCACCACGGCGACGTCGCACCGCCCCCTGCGCCAGGGAGCAGCGCGAGGGCGCGAGGAGACGTGCACGGCAAGCATCGCGGGCCGCGAGAGGCGATTTCAGGCTTGAGTCGGGCATGTCCCTCCACAGGAGGAGTTCTCATAGATAGCAGAAACAAGCAGTCCGGACACGATGCTTCTGTTTCGACGACTTCTGTCAGTGTCTGAAGATGTTTCGACTATCTCCTAGGCTTCTTCCAGAATCCGCCTGCAGGAGGCCATGCCCGACCCCATTGTAGGCAGCAGCGCTGGCCTTCCCCAGGGCGCGGCGAGGGGGCGCGAGGAGAGGTGCACCTCGCGCCTCGCGTGGCGCGATCCGCGGCCTTTCAGGCGGCCGAGGAGCGCGGGGCCCTCCGCTCGTGCGCCTCCGACTTCCGGCGGCGCCGTGCAGCCCGCGCCGCGACGGCCGGCTCGTCGC